TCGATTTTCCTCTTATCTCCTGCTAGTCCTTCTCAGTCTCTTTTAAGGGCTCCTCCTAAATATCAATGTTTCCTTAGGATTCTGCCCTGGGCCCATTTTATTTTACTATACACATTCTCTCTAGGCAACACTCCTGGCTTCAGCTTCTACCTATTAATTACATGACCTCCTTTTTCCAGATCAGACTTCTCACAAGCTTTAGAGCTATACATCCAACTAAGTATTAAACATCTTGACAGTTACTCAGGGAACTCAGACCCCCATCTCTGAAATGGAATCTATCATCCTTTCACTGAAAACGTGCCATTTCATTTTCTATCTCTCTGGATTGCTATCTACCCAGCTGCCTAAGCCAGAAGTCCAAGATTCTAAACTTATCCCCTTTTCTGTCCTTAATGTTCAGTCATTAATTTCTGTTTATTTTCACCTCCCAAGTATTTCTTACAACCACAACATCTTTTCTAGAACTACTGTCATTATTTTGGTTCAAGACCTCATAATAAATGTAGCCCCAAAATTTCCCTGTATTCTTCAAAATTTATTTTTGATTATTATTAAAACATAATACATAATAATTGTACATATTTATGGGGTACATGTAATATTTTGATACAAGCATAATGTATAATGATCAAATCAGGGTAACTGGGATATGCATCACCCCTCTCTATTTTGTTTTTAATTTTATCCAAGTTACTTATGTTGTCATATGTGGCTCTACAGGGTTAACAACAAAAAAATCAGCAGTCCTCTGCCCTCTTCCCAAGAGATAACCCATTTTTTCCCCCTTTAGCTCACTATTTTGATCCTGACTTCCAAGTTTCTAAGTAACTTGCTTGTGTTGGTACTTCTTGATTTTTTAGTCTTAGGCATATCTAATGACTTCCTACTAGGGCACCATTCATTCATTTACCCAACAAATACTTATCAAGTGCTTAATATTGTGCCAGGTACAATTCTGGGTGTTTGAGATATAACAAACAGAATAACCATCAGGGAAAAAAATGAACAAACATAAATTAGAATATTATATAATTCATTATAAAATAGGATCTTTCTTTGCAAGGTAAGATGCCCTTCTTTTGTGTTCCAGCAGTGTCCTGTTCATAGCCCTATCATAGTCAGCACATTCTCTACTACAATCCTGTGTATGACTGTGGTTGGTGGTGACTGTCTTGTTTAGACCTAAGTTATATTCTTCCTATGGTTCTGATGAGTCCAGTGGTGGTGACTGGAAGGAGCTCTCTGCAGAACAGAAGAACCTCCTGGGAAGGTGCTGGAGAGCTTAGGTTATCATAAAAAACGAGCTAGGGTAGTTCTGGAGGAGCTGACTCCACGGATCTCTAGATTAACTGCAAAGACTTGTTAAATCCCAGTTTACTATTTGAAACATTAAAGGTAACAAATTAGGATCATCATAAAGGAAAGTTCCTTACGTCATGATTAAATTTTTAAAATTGGCTGGGCGCGGTGGCTCATGTCTGTAATCCCAGCACTCTGGGAGGCTGAGGTGGGTGGATCACAAGGTCAAGAGATCTAGAATATCCTGGCCAACATGGTGAAACCCTGTCTTAACTAAAAATACAAAATTTAGCTGGGCATGGTGGCGGGCACCTGTAGTCCCAGCTACTCGGGAGGCTGAGGCAGGAAAATGGCGTGAACCCAGGAGGCAGAGCTTGCAGTGAGCAGAGATTGTGCCACTGCACTCCAGCCTGGTGACAGAGCAAGACTCTGTCTCAAAAAAAAAAAAAAAAAAAAAAAAAAAGATTTTACCAATGACTAGTAAATGAAGTTTAGAAATGTTTGAACATTTCTGATTAAACATGATAATTCAATTTTAGTGTAACAGATCCTAATTTCTTTGCCTTGTTAGCTTATTTTTTAATCTTTTAAATTTTTTTTTTTTTTTTTTTTTGAGACACAGTCTCACTCTGTTGCCCAGGGTAGAGTGCAGTGGCGCGATCTTGGCTCACTGCAACCTCTGCCTCCAGGGTTCAAGTGATTCTCATGCCTCAGCCTCCCAATTAGCTGGGACTACAGGCTTGTGCCACCACACCCAACTAATTTTTGTATTTTTAGTTAGAGATGGGGTTTCACTTGTTGGCCAGGCTGGTCTTGAACTCCTGACCTCAAGTGATCCGCCCGCCTTGGCCTCCCAAAGTGCTGAAATTACAGGTGTGAGCCACTGCACCTGGCCTGTTAGGCTGATTATAAAAAAGGATAAGGCTGGGTGTGGTGGCTCATGCCTATAATTTCAGCATTTTGGGAGGCAGAGCTGGGAGGACTGCTTGAGCTCAGGAGTTCAAGACCAGTCTGGAAAACATAGTGAGACTTTGTCTCTACAAAAAATACAAACATTAGCTGGGTGTGGTGGTGTGTGTCTAGAGTCCCAGCTACTCAGGAAGCTGAGATGGGAGGATCACTTGTGCTAGAAGGTTGAGGCTTCGGTGAGCCTCATGTCACTATACTCCAGCCTGGACAACAGAGTGAGACACTATCTTGGAGGAAAAAAAAAAAAAAAAGATACAAAAGGATAAAATTAAGTACATATCATTATTTTTTCTTTATCACTTTACTTATTTGCTTATTAAAAGGAATACAATGAGGTAAAAGGGTGTTTCATAACTTACTTTTCAAAGAATTTACCCAGAATCACAAACTGGTACATTAGTGGGAGTTTTTTTGGTTTGTTTAAAGTTAAAGGCTTACTTAATTCTTTGACATAGTAATACAAAATATATTATGAGCTATATATTTTAGAATAAAATATTTTACATATAACTCTCCCTTAATAACATTTTCTTTTTTTACATTTTGTTATATTTTTATATTTTTTGCCTCTTTAAAAAATAATTTGGTTTTGAATATTAAATTTACATATTTCTGAGTTAAATCAACATTTGTAGAGGAATTATCAAAAAAACTAGTAAGTCTGAAAAAAAAACCATATTTTTATATTCTGAGGTCCTATATATGCTATGGCTAATTCTCTAATTTTAAAAAATGCTGAATATTTATATAATGTTTATCAAACTATTATTAATTTATATTTGAGTGTTTTACTATATTGGAATTGCAGTAATATTAACATTTGTGTAAACACACAAAACCTTGCTCTTCTTGCTAGAAAGAGATGTAAAAATCTGAACTAGTCGAACAGTCTTAAAAGAACTCATTGTCTAGCCAGATGTGGTGGCTCACCCCTGTAATCCCAGCACTTTGGGAGGTTGAGGCGGGTGGATGGCTTGAACTCAGGAGTGCAAGCCCAGCCTGGGAAACATGGCAAAAGTCCGTCTCTACCAAAAATACAAACAAAATTAGCCAGGTGTGGTGGCAGGCGCCTGTAGTCTCAGCTACTTGGGATGCTGAGGTGGGAGGATCGCTTGAGCCTGAAAGGAAAGCTGTAGTGAGCAGAGACTGTGCCACTGCACTCCAACCTAGGTAACAGAGTGAGAAACATCTCAAAAAATAATAATAATAATAATAATAATAAAGAACTCATTGTCCATTGGTAATAATAAATGTGTTTACGATGCAAAAAAAAGTGTAACACAAAAATATATTAAATGCTGCAGCAAGTATTTACATGTATGTACCTCATATTTTTTTTTTCTTTCCACTAAGGAAGGTGTTGTAATAGACAAACACAAATGCTTCGGTGTTTACAATTACAAATACCCCAAGTCTAGAACTTAAAAGTGGTAGTACTTTTTTTGGGACTTCTTCAGTTAACAGTCACTTTACACAGTGCTAAGCTTTTTACTCTTAATTACATTTTTGGATGATATTTATATCCCATTGTCCTAGAACACTGTGATCAAACTTTTTTTTTTTTTTTTTTTTTGAGATGCAGTTTTGTTCTTGTTGTCCAGGCTGGACTGCAATGGCATGATCTTGGCTCACTGCAATCTCTCCCTCCCAGGTTCAAGGGATTCTCCTGCCAAGTAGCTGGGATTACAGGTGCCCACCACCACACCTAGCTAATTTTTGTATTTTTAGTAGAGACAAGATTTCACCATGTTGGCCAGGCTGGTCTCAAACTCCTGACCTCAGGTGATCCACCCACCTCAGCCTCCCAGTGTTGGGATTTTGGACGTGAGTCACCGCACCTGGCTGATCTAATTATTTAAATAATAGTTTAATAGAAATGTTAGAAAAAGGAATTTCTGGAAATAAACAGGTTTTGTAAAGGTTTTTTCTGTAGATTACAATTATATTTGTCTCAAGTATTTAATTAATTTGAGGAAGAAATAAAAGTCATAAGCAGTCAACATATCTATGAGATATAAGGAGCATCCTTTATGTTTCTTTATTATTTTATTTTTTGAGACGGAGTCTTGCTCTGTCACCCAGGCTGGAGTACAATGGCACGATCTTGGTTCATTGCAACCTCCGCCTTCTGGGTTCTCGTGATTTTCCTGCCTCAGCCTCCTAGGCAGCTGGGATTACAGGCATGAGCCACCATGCCCAGCTAATTTTTGTATTTTTGGTAGATACGAGGTTCCACCATGTTGGCCAGGCTGGTCGAGAACTCCCGACTTTAGGTATCAGAAAAGTAGGGGAGGCCGGGCTCAGTGGCTCGTGCCTGTAATCCTAGCACTTTGGGAGGCCCAGGTGAGCGGATCACCTAAAGTCGGGACTTTAGCTAACAAGGAGGCCATACCTTCTTGAAAAGCAATTTTGAAATCTCTGTGAGAGTAGTTAAATCTTGGAGATAAGACAATGACATATGTGTATTTGGTAAAAAGGCAGAAAGGCAGAAAAATAAATAAGGACAATTTTCTCCTACAGAGTAAAACATTTCATCAGTAGATAAGATTGAAGATTATATAAAGGTGTTTTACTGATTACTAATGCACAGATTAAAGTATTAAGCCATCTTAAGTTTTTTAAATTTTGCCAATTCTCATACTTCATTTTTTAAAAAAAATCTGAGGATAGAAACTTGATTATTGATTGTTTAACATATTTTGAAGTAACACAGAATGAAAATTGGTTACCTAATCAAGTAGCAACAGAAGAGTAAACTAAGGATGAAGACAAATATAGCAGTACCAAAAACCACAATATATATGTTGAGAGGCAGATTCTGGAATCCAATATTAGGCATCCTGAAGTTGTAATGTGGGAAATCCGAGCTCATGGATGAACTGTGGGGGAAGAAAAGAATGGAAAAAAAAATAGGTAAAGACTAAGAACAAAGACAGCATTATCATTGTGCACGTACAGAAGCACAATGACCCCATCTGAAACAAATATGGTAGACAAAGTGTTAATATTCTTGCCATTCATTCATTCACCATGCCAAATATTTACTACTATGTACCTGGCACTATTTCAGAGACTGGAGATTCTACATAAAAAGCTTTGCAAGTTGCATTTATTCACTAAAAAGCATTTCACTGAAATAATGCCAGTAATTAATAAACATGAAAATGTTCAACCTCAGAGAAGTGCAAAAAGAAAAAAAGTTTTAAGATTCTTCAAACTCTTTAGCCTTTAACCTAATAACCCTTGAAGTAGCAATATTTATAATGCTAAAATGTTAGAAATAACTGAGATATCTCACAAGGAGATAATAATTAATTATATAGTCATACGTTACAGTATTAAAGGGTCATGAAAACATTTTAAAGTAATTTTTTTTTTCTTTTGAGACACGGTCTTACTCTGTCACCCCAGGCTAGAGTGCAATGGTGTGATCTCAGTTCACTGCAGCCTTAATCTCCCAGGCTCAAGCGATTCTCCCGCTTCAGCCCCCCAAATAGCTAGGACTACAGGCACGTGCCACCATACCTAGCTAATTTTTAAAAAATTTTTTGTAGAGATAGGGTCTCAGCATGTTGCCCAGGCTGGTCTTGAACTCGTGGGCTCAAGCAATCGTCCCCACTTGGCCTCCCAAAGTGCTGGTATTACAGGTGTGAGCCACCGCGCCCGGCCAATTTCTCCCCATTTTATATAGACAAGGAAACTGAAGCTTAGACAGTTCTGGTCCCACGGCCATGACTGACCAAGTATGTACACAGCCAGAGCCTCTCCAACTCCAAACTCAGCACTCTCAGTCTATATGCTCCACTGCCTTTCTCATGTGTTACTTTTCTAATCAGAAACAGTAAGTGTTGTTTAAACATTAAAAAAAGGACTATTTCTGTCAGTTTGTTTGAGAATACTTACTGATCACTACAGTTAAAATTCCACAGATAAAAGTTGCCTCTCCTGTAAGTGATAAGCTGTAGTTTGTCATTTTGATTCCTTACAAAATGAAGAGCTCCTGCCAGGCCTGCTTATTAAGACCAAAGACTGATAATGGAATTATAATTATGAATACAACAAATCCAAACCCAAACAAAACTCTACCAAGCAAAGAAAACTTCTACTTTTATTTATGCATGGTAAATTAAAAATGTATTCACAGATTTTTAGTTTTCTTGTAGGTTCCCAGAAGAGTGTATTTATACTGTTGACGCCACTAGATGTTAACTGGCTATACCTGAAACCTAAATCTTATTATTAGTTTCTAGTATCTAGTAACGTATATCAGGAAGTCAGTACCTGCAAAGAACAACTTCATCCCATGTAAATTCTTCTCTGAGAGCTTCCAAACATAAATAATGGGTAATATTTAATTTTGAATCTTTGGCCATTTTCTGGGTTGGCTCAGTTAGAGCAAGTGCTTTTACTCAAATACATATTTAATTTCCTTTTTCCTACATTCAGATCTTCTTAGAAAGGGAAGGAAGGATGTAGTTAAGGAGTGCTTTACCAAATATACAAAGCACATACGCTGTGGAGCTATTAGAAAATTACAGGGCACAAAATTTAGCTCTTAACTTTCATATTTCTGACAGGGCCTCACTTGATGACCCTTGTTATAGCCAAGACTGTCCTTTAATCCCTTACAAATATGCCTCCCCAGACAAGACTGGCTTGGTAAGATATCTCTCACCTTAGAAAATAAGGGATTAGGCCAGGTGCCGTGGCTCACACCTGTAATCCCAGCACTTTGGGAGGCTGAGGCGGGTGGATCACCTGAGGTCAGGAGTTTGAGACCAGCCTGGCCAACATAGCAAAAATGCACCTCTACTAAAGATGCAAAAATTAACCCGGTGTGGTGGCACGCACTTGCAATCCCAGCTACTCAGGGGGCTAATGCAGGGGAATCGCTCAAACCAGGGAGGTTTAGTGAGCCAAGATTGCTCCACTGCACTCCACCCTGGGCAACAGAGTGAGACTCTATCTTAAAAAAAAAAAAGAAAGTAAGAGATTAAATATCCGTACTGGGCAAGCTAAGAGAGACGAAACAGGCAAGTGACAGAAAATGGTATGGTAGAAAGACAGAGAGGTTTGCAGTCAGCAAATCTGGATGCTTGCTCCCAGGATGTCACTGTCTAAATGTCAGAGCTTCATCTATACTTCAATTTTCTCATCTTTCAAATGGTATGACTGTCCTATCGATCAATTTTAAGGAATTCCTGAAAGGATAAAATGAGATAGCAGATAACGAAGTGTCTGAAAACTCTAAGAGGACAAAACTATTAAGGCTTTAGTGTGTGTGTGTGTGTGTGTGTGTGTGTGTGTGTGTGTGTGTGT